AAATACCTACTGCTAGTGATAATGAAAAACGAAGGCATTTGACTCTTAGACATAAATTCATTAGACATCTAATATCGCATAGTGTAATTTCTTTGAATTTTGTGAGGTCTGATAACAACATTGTTGATCCGCTCACGAAAGAGTTATCGCATCAACAAGTTTTACAATCATCGAGGAGAATGGGACTAGAGCCTATTAATTAATTCACTACAGTGGAAACTCATCTTCAGAAGTATGGCGATCATATGAAGGAAGTTCAATAGGTAAAAACAAAATTGCAATAAAGTGTAACTTGGAAGAACACAATTGAAAAATAATATTTGGTTGAATTTTTTTGTTTCAAGTCTTATTCCTATAGTGATAGTGCCTATTCATGTGACGTTTGAGGTCAAGTATAACTCTTAGTGAATCCAAAGGCATATTGCAGGGTGGATAGACACACAAATCACCTTTGTAGGATTCACCTAAGTGAACGTTGCCACTATGAGAGCATCTCCAATGGGCTTTCAATTGTGGAAATGTGGAAGGATTTCAATAACCAACCATCAATGTCTAGATGCTAATCATAATGATGTGGCTGGAGAGAGAGGGAATAAATTCTAGCACTCTTTCTACAATTAAAACTCTTGCTAGACATGATGACTCACAATTTTCCTCCCCACTAACTTCTTTTATTTTTAATTAAAAACAACAAATTAAAAACTGCTAGAGTGAAAATTTTGCGGGAACTACGATCAGCATAAGGCGGAAAACAAATACCTTGGAGAGAAAAACACAAAAGGCTACTTGAATCACAAAAGTAGATAAAATTCAAGCATCTAAAAACTTTTTTTTGTTTGCAGAGTTGAAGAAAAAAAATAATACAGAGAAGGTAAACATAACTCAATCCAAGTTTTTCATTTTGTTCCTTTACTTGTCAGCCTAAATATATTATTCATTGCTTAGAAATGTTTTCAAGTGTCCTTGAATCAATTACCTATGATTAATGTTTTGTAAATTTGATGTATTGCAATTGTCTTGCTTGATGTTATGTGGTTCAACATGGTTATGCTGATGAAAGTTCTGTAATCATATGATAACTGAGTGGCTCTGTTTATGTGATTTCCTGGTGAATGTCAATAGTATTAAATTTTGAGTGATAATTTAGTTTAAGTTTTTGCATAATTACGTAAAGGCCCAACTACTCTTCAATCTTGCATATTGTTTTAGTGGGCAGAAATTCAGAGTTCTAACTGTAAACTTTAGTATTATTTATAAATGCTACTTTTGCTTATGAGGAGTAATCACACAAATGCAAAATCAAAGTTTAAGGGCAGCTGCTTCTCCTTGTGTTGTTTTTCTTTCTAATTTCGTGTATCAAACATGAATAGTGTTATTACAAGGACCTCTTTTGACTCTTTTAGTACCTTGCTTTTACATTAGCTGATTAAAAAAAGGTAATAGATTTATTTTTGGTTTTTATGTTTCTTTGAATGAATATTGAAATTAAAATTAGTTTTCTGATAATTTTCTAGAGAGGATGCTAGTATGTTATTAACATTGAAGTACTTTATGATGTGCATTTTGTGCAGGACAAATTTCATATGGGGTCCCAAGATTTAAGTCAAAGTTCTTCTCTTCAACAATCTTTTGTTGATCCTAACCTACAATCCCAATTCACAAACGTGAACCAATCCTCACATCCCAACTTTCTTTATGTTCCATTAAATGCATCCTACAACCCATTTGTTAATCAACAGCCTGGAAACCATTCTTCATTTCAAGGCCTACTCAACAGCCATAATATTCCTTTTGATAATATTAAGAACTCAGCCAGGTCATATTGTGTGAATGATAATGGAAGCAATACCCAAAAGCCTAACATCTCACAAGCTTCTGTTGCCAACAAAAACTGGACCAAAGCCGAAGACATAGCGTTGACGAAAGCATGGTTATATGTATCTATTGATTCTGATGTTGGTAGCAATCAAAAGAATACACAGATGTGGAATCGCATTTTAATGCATTGGAAGGAGAATATGGGGGTGCAGATGTGGAATCGCATTTTAATGCATTGGAAGGAGAATATGGGGGTGAGCTGCAATAGTTCGAGGAACACTAACAGCTTAGGATGTCGATGGGCAAAAATACAATCAGCCGTGAGCAAATACCATGAAATTTATGAGTGTCTAGAAAGAATTCCTCAGAGTGGATCCAATATAGATGATCTGGTACACATTACTTTTATTTTCTTGATTACTGTTGAAATATCATGTAAGCTTATTTATTTTATTTTTTATTTTGGTTATATTGTCTCAGAAAAGAGAAGCAATGAGGGCATATGAAGATATCAACAATAAGAAAGAGTTTAAATTTGAGCACTGTTGGAACATCATGAGAAAGAATCCAAAATGGTGTACAAATCAACTTGCAAAAACAAATGGGACAAACAAGTCGAAAGGAGACAATACGAGCCATTTGTCAACAGATTCACCATCTATTAATCTTTGTGATGATACAACTGTTGATCCGTTTGGTTGTGAGAAGCTGAAAACGGATGGTTTAGCACGTCCTGAGGGAAGAAAAGCCTGTAAAGACAAAAAAAGAAAGTCGAATGATGAAAAATGGGTGGTAGAAGTATTAGGCAAGTTACAATGCACTTTAGAAATGCATGTTGCCATCACTCGAGAAGAGCTGGAGCTGAAAAAAGAGAAAGAAAAAAAAGAGCATGACTTAAGGGAGCAGGTAATAAAGAAAGAGTTTAAAATGAAACAAAAAGCTCAGAGACTGAAAAAGAAAGATCAAGAAATGAAAGAGAGAGTTATAGAAATGAAAGAAAATGCTCAAAGACTGAAGATAAAAGACCAAGAATTGAAAGAAAAGGCTCAAAGAAGGCACGATCAAGAGTTCATTATGAATCAGGATGTGACCAAACTATCCCCAACCATGCGAGAAACCATTGAAATATACCGAGTTCAAATACTGAAGGAATGGGAAAATGAATGTTGCATAAGCAACATAAATCAGGTAATAACTTTTTATCTTTATCATTATTGCATTGTAGTTCACACATATATATTAATATATTCTTGTTATATTCTTACAAAAATTCTGTTTTTTTTTTTGGGTTAATATGTGTAGACAACTTCTTCTGGATCGTGAGAACGTGTAACTAATGGTGTTTTCAGGAGTTGCTACTACGATCACGTATCTAGACTAGCTATTTTTTTTTATCAACTTTTTTTCTATTCTAAGTTAATGTACTTGCTTAGTTGTTATCTTTTATTTACTTGCTTTATATTAAATGCAAATTTGCGAGAATGCGATTTGTGGGTTAAGAGGTTGTAGTTGATGGACTTGATTTGGTTTATGTTTTCATGTTCGCTAATTCTGTGTGTTTGGCAAAGGAAAAATTGCTTTTCTAATTGAACTGTTTGAACTTCCACTTTCTTTTTAGTAGGCTCGGGTGGTGTATTGTGGTTGAAGCATCAGTTGGTTCACTCCTTCCTCAGCATACGTTGCTTGATGTATTGAGATTACAATTTTATTTTTCAGTAATGATGTAAAAAATAGCAGGCAAACATGACGAGGAAAGTAAATTTTGACAAAATTTTCAAGAAGCAAGTCCGGTAGTTCTTAAGCTCGGCCGGCATGGTTGGTGAGTAAATACGGGATAAAAAATATCTATATAAAATATTTCCCAAATGAGATTATTATGGGATAAAAACATCTATATAAAAAGCCTAACATTAGCAATATATTTTGTTATTGCTTATAATGTTTACACAACTGAAACTATGTTAAAATATGCTAAAATATATTTTGTTACTGCTAAAGTCTCTTTAGCATAATTTCCATCATATAAACCTACCTAAGCAATATATTCCAACTATGGGGAGGGCAGAATATATATCTACCTAAGCAATATATTATGTTATTGCTTGTAAAGTCTCCTTAGCATAATTTCCATCATAGTCCATTACTTTACTATCTCCAGGTACAAACATATCAAAAGCTAAAGCAGCAGAGATGAGGCTAAATACTAAATCACATGACAAATAATTAAATATTAATAGTGTAGTCCATATTTCAGAATACAGTGGTGATCTAAATGCTGAAGATCAATTATATTAGCCATAATAAAACTCAACTGAAAATAAAATTATTTGCCAAAGAAGGTCTCACACATTATTCCATCTAAAATAAAATGAACATACAAGAAAAAAAAAATCGGCCAAAGCGTGTAAAATCAAAGTAGCCATTGCGAGAATTAGCTTCATTTTGAAACTATTGTTCTCTTGGCACGCTGAGAACACATGATGATATTATATTGCATCACGTGAGTTGATGATCACCGTATAGGTCCCATAAGTGATTTATTAGATCGACTTTCAAATCCTTGTGCATCCTACTATCTTGAACTTGTTTCATACGACTAATCACCCTTGACACAAGTAACATGAAATCACGCTCCAAATTAACATTATGATTTGATTCCTCTCTAAGCGGTTCCCAATTCTCAGGATTTATGCCTTGACCCTGTTCACTTTCAATGATCATATTGTGCAAAATGATACAAGTTTTCATTATTTTTCCAAGATCTTCCACATTCCAAAATCTCGCTGGACCTTTAACTATATGCCACCTACTTTGTAACACTCCAAATGCATGTTCCACGTCCTTCCTTACAGATTCATGTTGTTTGGCAAATAGTTTTTCCTTAGCGGACGTAGGTTGAGATATGGTTTGAATTAATGTGGCGTATTGGGGGTAAATGCCATCTGAGAGATAATATCCCATCTTATAATGGTGACCTTGTACTACAAACTCACATGATGGTGCAACTTTATTGACGAGATCATCAAACAGTGGAGATCTATCTAAAACATTAATATCGTTGTTACTTTCAGCCATACCAAAGAATGCATGCAAAATCCATAAACATTTTGAAGCTACAACCTCTAATATGAGAGTAGGAACTTTTTTTAACCCATTAGTATGCGTACCGTGCCAAGCAGTCGGACAATTTTTCCAATGTCAATGCATACAATCTAGGCTACCAAGCATACCTGGAAATCCTCGAGCTTCATTTTCTTTCATTAACACCTGCATATCCGTTTCACTGGGTTTTCTTAGATATTGTTCTTCAAACACTCCAATTATCGCGTCGCAAAAATACTTAAGGCTCAATGGCAGTGCTCTCTCCTATTTGAATATATTCATCAAGAATATCAGCAGGACAACCATACGCAAGCGTCCGTATTGCTGCTATCATTTTTTGTAAAGGACTTAAAGCCCAATTTACCTGCCCCATCAACTTTCTGCACAAAATAATCATCAAACTTTCCAATATTTTCCAAAATATGTCGAAATAAATTGATGTCCATTCTAAAACGATGCCGAAAATGCTGGGTTGTATACTTGGAGTTTTTTCCATTGAAGTAGTCCTTCATAATTAAATCATGGCGTTCTTTCCTATCACGATGAATATATCATCTACTGGGATCGATCCACCATGAGGACGTTTTTTGTTTACTAAGACTTGCGAAAGTATTATAGGAACCTGCGTCGAGATAGTCGGTACCATGTCGTAAGCCATTCTGGAAGATAAATTTTCATCTACCATTGGCTCATCTAATAATTGCTTCGACATTGTAAGTGAATCATCGCTTGAAGATGAAGTGGTAGAATCTGATTCGAGGCTTGATGAAGACATGAACAAATGACCTGTTATTGCAATACAATCAAAATTTGTAATTAAAGCATAAGAAAAAAATATACAACCACATCAATTAAACTTCACATCTCAATGATCAATGATTGTTGCTCTTCTATTTGCAAGTTTCCAGTGAAATGAAATAGGACAAAAAATATACACATATGTTAAAACTAGTACATTTCCAAAGAGATATTTACACGTCTGTACATAATAAAATTCTAAATTTCATATAAACTTTATCAAAATTTTGGAAAGACCATGCGTCAATTTTCATAAAATTATCTTCCTAAATACAATTAATAATATCAAATGTTCATAATACCTCTTGTTTAACTCAAATTTATCAAATGAATGTGTTTTGTTATTGTTGTTTTCTACGTAATTGTATCCTTTTTTTGTGCATCCATTTTATGTAATTCAAAATTCTGCACATGATTCAAATTAATAGATTAGAGGAAAATGAGGAAAAAAAATATATGATATTTAAAAATTAATAATTTTTATACGTAAATGAAATTTGAAATAAAAAATAAATAATACCTATACAGAAATATAAAGAAAGAAACCTGATGAACACCAACTCTGTGTTAAGGTGTTGTCAAATAGAAGCTACAATGAAATACAGAGAGATACTTTCTTTGTTGTTGAATTCATATAATTTAACTTTTGTTCAGTATCAAATTATGATAAATTTTACTTTTTTTCTAGTGAATCCGTATGGTGTTGAAACAAATTAGTGAATATAGGTGGTTGTTACAGATTTTCAGGTTTGTTACATTTTTTTTATAATAAAAAAATGGATAATATGAAGATAGAAGTGAACCATTGGAGACTCATTATGGGTTTGAACTTCTATTTGTTGTACGTGGATGAAATCCCTTCTATTTAATTACCACATATACTGCAATTGATGGTGATGGTTGGAGATGCTCTGAAGGTGTGGGCTACTCCCTAATGACGTTCATGATACAAGATTCTAGTGCATGACCGTAATGCACACCACTAATAGAACTACAATATGCTAGCGCCATGATTTTTCAATAAGTATTACTCTTAAGGGACATACATCTATTACACGGTATAATGGACCGTAGTGTATAATGGATCGGTATATAAAATCACGATATGTATGAGTAAGACATCAACTAGATCTTTGTTGCATTTTCTCAATGTAAGTATTACTCTTAAGGTACATACATATGTTACACGACATAATTTGCTCAACTATATTTTTATATTATATACATTCGTTATCTCTCTATATATGTATAATTTAGTTATTTTAAATAATGTGGAGAAATGTTGGATATATATTTTTAATGGTTTAATATAATAATAAAATAATACTAATGGCAACAAAAGGGATTTGTAAAACTAGCCGTTGGCTTTTAATTGCCCACTAACAGCCATTTTATTTTTCTTATTCATAAGTGTGCCCATAAATATGATATTATTAACCATCATTACCATTTCACTTAATTGGTCAATGCAAATTAATTTGCAATTCAAAGGGCATAATGTACTTATTTCCTTAAAAATAGTGCTAGAACATTGTATATGATGAATTCTCTCATCCCCTATATATAATTGCAGAATGCGCTGAGGCTAAGTGGCAGCCTCGCACGCTTCGGAATCCTACTTGGTGAAAAACATGCTTCGTAGTTTGGTTTGGATAAAAAATAATATTATTCTAAATCAATAATTTTAGGTTCGGACATTCCAAAGATATTGAAAACTAACTTGGTAATTCTATTATAGTTTGATTAATATAACCTTTAAGTTGTATGGGAACATTTGGTAATGATATTGATTGACTACTATAAGCTTGATTTATTTTGGAAGCTCTCAATTGACTCATTAATTTTCATGAAAACCTCAAATTTTCCTAATAAATACATATATTTAATTTTAAACAATTGTTGTTGTTATTATTATTTAATTATAAAATTAATTTTCTTGATAAGTATGTGTAGTAGACGGGTATTGTACTAGTATTGTTTATTTTACAAACAAACATATTATGTGGTTCGGAGTTCTCTTCGTTGTACACGAGATTATCGTCAGATTGTCGAAGTTTGAGAGAAGAACATGCTATCGATATTATTTCTACCAGTGCAATGAGAACGTTTCTTCTCTATTTAGAGCATTATTGCGTGCTTCGACTCAGACTCTTCTAAACTCAACTCTTTTATATTTATCTTAGGCTAATTATTTGTTATTTGAATTTATATACTCCTAATTATTAGAAATATTAATTCTCCACTATTGTCATAAATCCCAACAAATTAAAAAACAAAAACCAATGTTATAATTATCATGGTTTCACGTGAAAATTGGAAAATCAATTATGTATACCCCTTCTCACACAATGAACAAAAATCAACTATACAAGAGAAGTTCACACCAAATTAAACATAAAAATAAATTTATTTTGCACATGAAAAAATATTCGTTTTTATAATTTAATAAATCAACTCTGCCCCACAAAGCAATCCCTTGCAAAATGCCCATCCTCCCCACAGTTATAGCATCCCCTACCGCCGCCGCCACGACCTCTCCCGCCACCGCGACCTCTCCCACCGCCGCCCCGCCTGTAGCCACCGTCTCCCCCGCCGTCACCGCCGCGGTAGCAATCCCTGGCCAGGTGTCCCATCCTCCCACAGTTGTAGCACTCCACCCCACCGCCACCACGGCCGCCGCCGAACCTCCATCCCCTGCCGTAACCGCCTCGACCGCCGGGGCCGGAGTTCCTCGCGAGGGCGACGACGTCGACGGCCTTGCTCCGGCCGTCGTCCCCGGTCTCCACCCCGAACTCGATTCGCTGGCCCTCGCGCAGGGTCCGGAAACCGTCCGATTGGATCGCCGTCTGGTGGACAAACAGATCGTCTCCGCCGCCGTCCGGCGAGACGAAGCCGAAGCCCTTCTGGCCGCTGAACCACTTCACCGTACCGATCAACTTCTCGGCGGCCATCGGAAAATATTCTGGAAATCTGGAGCCGCGTCGATGGTTCCGGTGGGTGGTCAGACGAGCTCCGGCGATGGCGGCGGGTCGGTCGTGAATTTGATTTGGGGGCAGCTGTTATTAAATGGACTGCTATTTGAAGATTATTTATGGTTGAAACTGATTGGCTGTGGTGAGAATATATCTGAATTTCTATTGGCTGTGGTTGTGATAATTTGTCAGTGGTACTCTATTTTATGTGAGATCGAAGAAAATAAAAAGAAAGTGGGCCTACATAATCCGAGACACTGCGTTAACATCAAGCATGCTGCTAATAATAATGCTAATGATTAATCGTATTTATTACTCTCTTCATTTTAAAATATAAGGCATTTAAGGTTATTGCACAAATATTAAGAAGACATTAACTAATAAATAAATTGACTAAGTTAACCTTATTTACTCTAATCACAACCACTCCACACTTCCTTAATTTCAACACAATGAGGGTATATTTAGAAAAAAATACAAAAATTTGTCTTGATTTTTGAGCGCGCCTTATATTTCAAAAAAATTGAGAAATCTTTATACGCCTTATATTTCAAAATGGATGAAGTATTTTTGTAATGATGCATTTTGCATAACTAGTACAGAGCCCGTGCAATGCACGGGGTGCACAATTTTAAGGCTATTTATCCAGACTTATAATTATATATATGAATAAAGAAAAATGTACGGGATATATATAGTACGTGTGAAGCACGAGATATATTTATTTGGAGAATATTATATTATAAGATGCAATATTCAATAAACGTTTATAATACGCAAGAAATTGTACAATGTTCAATAAAAGTTTTATAATATTCAAGTGGAATCTTAAAGTCTCTTGTACATTAAGACTACTGACAAAATAATATTTTAATCAATGAGTTTCCTTTCTTTGTAGCCAAATTGTGAATTTGATTTGAGGAGTACAACAAATCGATATATAACTGACTTGTTTTTTTCATTGTAGTTTTTTTTTCTTTTCATAATGAATTTAAAGATATCTAAAATATAGCAAAAATTAATTTTTTTTATTACAATTAGCAACTTTACTAAATATAAACTCTCAATCTATGGTGTTAATCAACGTTTAAGTCTAAAAAATTAGGAATTTTTACCTCTTTTAATCAACGTTTAAGTCTAAAAAACAATAGAGTTATTATAAGTTTTTTTTCTACATCTTTTAAAACATTAAATATGAGCATGTTAGGGCTAGCTTGTAAAATAATTAATATATTATATCACTAAAACATTTATACTAATAAAAATTTAATTATAGCATATAAATTTATCCATTGATATAAGAGAAAGTAACAGTTTTACTTATTGTTGTTCACCATATAATATTTANNANNANNNNA